GCAGCTAAAAAAGCAAACGCACATTATTTCATAATGAAATTGCCCGATGTAATAGCAGTTAGGATACCGAAATTTCCATAAATTAACTATCAAAATTTTAGAAATATCAAACATTTGTTGGAGAAAACGGATTACAATTAAGCGGAGGAGAAAAACAACGAATTTGTATCGCGCGAGCATTAATTAAAAATCCCAAAATTTTATTGCTCGATGAACCTACATCAGCACTAGATAATGAATCAGAAAAAATTGTTCAAAAAGCGCTGGATGAAGCATGTAAAGGTTAGTACATAAAGAGTTAGCATTACTTGTGCCTGAAACTTTTCTACTTTTTCAATTTCTTATTATACATTCAGATCGTACAACGATTGTTATCGCACATCGTTTATCAACCATTCGTCATGCTAATAAAATCTGTGTGCTCGAACATGGTCGACTCATTGAAGAGGGTACACATGAAACATTGATGCTGAATGAACAAGGAAAATATTATGCGATGGTTCAAATGCAACAATCACTACCTGAAACAATGGACGAAAAAGAAGAAGACTCTGATGAATCAGACCAATACGTAAAAGGTTAGACATTTTCTTATTTATCAGTTAAATTCCATTTTTCATCTGATTTTTGATAGAACCTTTTAATAGAACAAGTCGTATGATGAGTGCAACCGATGAAGGTGATGTTCGAGATGAAAAAGTATGGTTCTTTCCGCTCAATTTGTTGTCGGCGATGTACAGCATTCATTCTTTCTTCTCGCTGCATTTTTTAAAATCATAGGATAAATCATTTCATCATCATCGTTCTTCGTTTTTAAAAATATTAAAACTGAACAGTCCAGAATGGCCCTTTATTTTATGTGGTTGTTTGTCAAGCTTTATAAGTGGCTCAAGAGCTCCATTATTTTCTTTGGTCATCGCTAAAGTTCTTCAAGTATAATTGAACTAAATAGCAGCATGGATTAATATAACTTTATTTGTCGCTTTCTTTCTTTTTAAGATATTTACTGAATGTGATTATGACAAACAACGACATGATCTCATAATTTTTATGTTCATTTTCTTTGCTCTTGGAATTGTTATCTTTTTAACAACGTTTTTCCAGGTAAATATTACCTTGTAGTATAAAACATTTGTTGGGAATCGTGATCAAATCGTATTTAGAATTTGAGAAGGTCTCTTTGTTCTAAAGACTGGTAAATAGTCTCGCTGAGAATGATTCGTTCCTTATTTGAGCATTTTTAGTCTTTCGTGTTTTGTAGAAAGCACAAAATTTTACGTCTGCAAAAATAGAAATGATCTATCAAACCTTTTCTTTGAGGGTGAGGTTTTAGGAGGTTTTAAACTACGATTCTACTGTAAAGAAACTACATCCCACTTGGATTATACAAAAAAGCAAATATCCCACGGGCATATAAAAATATATATCCGGACCACGATATTATAGCTCAATCGGAATATATTTTTTTATATCTGATTGAGATACATAGCTCGGTCGGAATATATATCCTGGTTGAAATATGCTTTTACATTGCCCTCACCATCACCTTTCAGGCTTTAAGATGATCAGTTTTTGTGAAGTATTTCCTAATGCTGCACAATTTTTTAATGTAAGAGCAGAGACATGCATAGGTTTGACTGATCATACTTGTTGATGGAGTGCGTAATCTTACAAAGCTGAACGAACTATGCTTACAAACTCGATACATCTTTTATTAGCGCTTTTAGAAGTAGCATTTAGACCTTTGGTCTATGGTGATAAAGTTTTTTTCACAGTGTAAAACTGGTCCTTTAGCGGCCTTTTTCTAAGGTCTGCTTTAGACCGTTTCCTGGTGTTAACGATTTTTAATCCATTATTTTAAGAACGTCCTATTTAAGACCTTAAACAGATCATTTTTTTAAGCTTCTACTGAGACCGTTTAGGGTTTAACTTGGTCGTTTGAACAGCCAAAAATTGGGCCTAGGAGCTGACCTTTAACCCTCACTTATTGTGCATTGTTCTCAAAACAAGAAAGAAAAAATTTTTAGGTTTCTATCTGCTGTCCTTTTTCCGTTTTCAGAAAAAAACACTAAAAATGGTCTATATTTGTGTGTGTTAACACAGATTACATGCGCGGGATTCTTCCAATGATGTCGGGAAATTAGACGTTCAAAAACGTTTAAGACAGAGTGTACTAGCGTAATTGGTCTATAATTTGTCAGTAAATAAGCATCTTGTTCGTGGACTTGAGTGACACAACCTATCGTTTTGATTATATTTTTTGGTACTAACAGAATGTAATTATTATTATACGTTTATTTATCAAATGCTTTCTTCTCGAAACCAATGTTTTAGTATCTTACTTGATATTGCTAAGAAAGTTACAATAAAGGAGCAACAATTACGAAATCATCCAAATATTATAAACCAAATGATGAAGGCAGTTCTTTCGAAAGTGGATTAAAGTTTACATCAGCTTTATAGTAATCATATCAGACTTTCACGACTAGTGAATTTTGATGTCATAAGCCCAAAACTTACATTCAAAAGTTTTTAAAACAACCGCATGATGGTTTCCGAACAAGGTTTTCTAGAACGTTTCCAGCCAAATCCGTTTTTCATCATTCGGCCATTTCAAAAGATGGAAGATTGAATGTTTTGAGTAGATAGATGCTAAAACAGTCTTAGCCTAGACTAAAAAAAAAAATTTATTGATGACTGATAACGTTCTGGATCGCCTAAATCCCTGTAGCATTTGCACTAGGATTTTCCTACTCTTACAACTTATTAGCCATTGATCAAACATGATGTTTTCAATAGTCAGATTAAAGAGATCACAGTTATATATCGTTTCGGTCACTACAATCTTCGGTTTTTCCCCAATCAAAAGTTACGAAAAGCTTTCAAAGAATGTCATGTCCTGTTGTTGACTTACGTTCAGGAAAATGCAAAATGTCATGATTGGATTGACCATCGAAAGGAGGTCAAAATTTAGGTAGAGAGATTATACTTTCTGTTACAGACTCTTTAGATCAAAAGTTCTGATCTAAATAGGATCGAAAAGCAGCATCGGATCTAAAATGTTTCTTTGATACGTGCGGTTACCATAGAACTAGATTTTTCTGAGACAGCTATGCTGGAAAGAAATAATTTTTTGGGTTCAGCAGTATGCACGTACCGCACAATGGCTGAATCTTCCACTGACGAAAAGAGATTTGACTTTCTATCTTCTTTCAGCTAAGTTGTTGTTACAAAATTGTACATGATCAAGAGTGCTACGACAGTGTTATCTGTGTAGCTGCATGCTCTATAAAACAATTATTTCCTGAACTCATTGCTCATTTGGCTCCCCCTTCCACAGATGAATTATGTCCTAATGATATACAAGTAAAACTACGCAAAACACCCTACTGAATATACAGCATATTTATGCGCTTGCATGCGGACTGGTTAAAGTATATATTAGTCAATGGAATGATTCTGCCATTAGAATACTAAAAAGCATACTTCGTTTCTATGGATAGATTTGTGCCTGAGTACGCCAGATATCCCTTTGTGGTATGCTTGAAACGTTTATCTTTTCAATGGAATAAACTAACTAACATGATTAATACGCCATTTTTTCTGTGATTATTGCACTATTTGTATACCTACTTTCGAAAAAACAGGTGAAGTAGTGGCACAGGAAAGCTTGCATCCTTAATGTTTTATAATCTTCTGATGGAATCATACGGCGGGCTCACAGGTTAGGTGCGTCTTGTGTCTACCTTATCGTTTGATTTTTTATTGGACGTTTCGTGATTGCATGTTATTTTATGCTGCTTTTCTGAAATAGCACGACACGGAATAAAAATATCATGGCGGAGTTTTCGTGTGGTTAACTCTTACAGCTAGCGCGTTTTGACCCAATCATTGTAGTCTGTGTCTTTTGCCGCAGAATGACAACAGAAAATCAGTGCTTTTGCTCTTATGTACCCTACTACTTTTGTATAGAATGTTACCTCAAGAAACATGTATGCGATAATTCTAGCATTGTTTTCAAGCAAAATTTTATTTAACGAGGAAACGCAAAAAAATTGGGTTAACGCAAAACTCTTACAGATATCCGGTTGAATGACTCTGTAAAATTTTGTTTCTTGAGAAAATGCACAAAAGATTGTCACACGTTTCGCAAAAACAGAATTTTGCAAACATTCACAAAAACATTATTGGCAAAATTCTGTATTAGTAGAACTTCTTGGCAAGTTTTGTACTCGAACCAACCATTTTTGTGTTAATTTAGCGTTTAAAGCAAAAATTCTCATAAAAATGTTTTCATGGAAAACTGCGTCACGCAATAGGTGGTGTAATGTAATACGCCCATCAATCAGTATTAGGGAAATGTTGATTAAGAACTTCAGCCGTATCCTAAAGATGCTTAACTAACTCGCCAGTTGCGGAACCAAACAGAAATGAAGTAGAATGTCGCTTGTGTTTGCCTGTTGTACGTTTAACCACTGCCCACTACTTTTTTGTGGAGTTATTGACCTCAACCGAAAGTTGAGAGTAGTAGCCGGTACCACTTAAATGGGTGGCTGTTAAAACTTACGAGAAATAAAACAGAATCAT